AATTTAATTTTGGACCCTTTGGACCTTAATGTAGACCAATTTAAAATAAAACTGCTTCGCTGAGCGCAGCTGGATACGCCCGCAGAGGTCAAACCCTGAACAGTTGGGGCAAAAAAGGACACAATATTCAAGCTTGATACAGGTCTGAATTTGGATTGTAATTAAATATTTGATATATTATAGGTTTCTGAATAAATGTAGTCAAAGAACTTGAAATTGGTTATATGAAGGATTTCTTGCTGTTGTGCAATGCGCAATACTTAGTAAATCTGTTGTCAGACTATAAACAAATAAAATCTTATAACTCGGAAATGTAAAATCGAAAATTTATAGTAGTCAAAAGGGAGCTTACAAAAATAGATATAAACAATTTACCAAAGTTTCATAAAAAATGCTGAAAGCATTTTTGAGCTATTGACGAAAACTGGAAAATCCCCATTTTGTAATGAATAAAACCCCATAAATCGGAAACTTAATAGTCTGAAATTTATAAAAATCAAAAGGGAGCTCATGTCAATAGAAATAAACAATTCACCAAAGTTTTTTGCAAATTGGTGAAATTGTTTTTAAGTTATTGTCTGAAAACTGGAAAATCCCCCCTTTTTTAATGAATAAAACCCCAAAACTCGGAAACGGTAAAACCAAAATTTATAAAAAAACAAAAGGGAGCTCACGTCAATAGATATGAACAATTCACAAAAGTTTCATGTAAATTGGTGAAATATTTTTTGAGTTATTGTCAGAAAACTGGAAAATCCCCCCTTTTTTAATGAATAAAACTCCAAAACTCGGAAACGGTAAATCCGAAATTTATAAAAAACGAAAGAGAGCTCACGTCAATAGATCTGAACAATTTACAAAAAGTTTCATGCAAATTGGTGAAATTGTTTTTGAGTTATTGTCCGAAAACTGGAAAATCCCCCCTTTTTTAATGAATAAAACCCCAAAACTTGGAAATGGTAAATCTGAAATTGATAAAAAACGAAAGGGAGCTTACGTCAATAGATATAAACAATTCACCAAAGTTTCATGCATACTGATTAAAGCGTTTTTGAAGTAATGTCCGACATGTTGACGACGGACGGACGGATGGACTGACAGACGGACGGACGGACAGACGGACAGAGGTATACCATAATACGTCCCGTAAACGGGCGTATAAAAACGGGACCCAAAATTAAAAATCTAAATACATGGTTAGATTTGACATATCAAAGAACCCCAATAATTCAATTTTTGATGAAATAAATCAAAGTTTAATTTTGGACCCTTTTGACCTCAATATGAACCAATTTGATAGCGGGGCCTACAAATAAAAAATCCAAATACATGGTTAGATTCAGCATATCAAAGAACCTCATATATTCAATTTTTTGTCGAAATCAAACAAAGTTTAATTTTGGACCCCAATTTGGACCAACTTGAAAACTGGGCCCAAAATCAAAAATCTAAATACATGTTTAGATTCAGCATATCAAAGAACCCCATATATTCAATTTTTGTTGAAATCAAAATAAGTTAAATTTTGGACCCTTTTGACCTTAACGTACACCAATTTGAAAACTGGACCCAAAATTAAAAATCTAAATACACAGTCAGATTTGGCATAACAAATAAATAAATGTGGTCAAAGATTTTACAAATCTAATGCGCCATACTGTGCAATTAAAGATTACTTCTTGAAATATTTTAATTTCTGTATCTGAAATGAGAAAAAATTGACCCCCACAATTTTTTTTACCCCCCCCCCCCCCCCCCCCCCCCCCTTTTTTCCCCCAAAAAATTCTTTCCCTCAAGATATGGTCATAATCTCAATTCATACTTTCCAATGGAATTTGCAACCATAATTACCCATTTAAATTTACCATAGTGCTAACTTAATCTATTTTATAATAGAATTTAAAATATGGTGTCAAATCTTTCATATGGATTTTTTTTGTAAAAAAAAAAAGATGCAACATTTGCAGATATTTTTACTGGTCTTCCTTTATAAATATGCATTTCTTTAAACATAATTTAAAAGCAGTGTAAGGGAAGTAATCAAAACGTTGTATGTGGATTACCTCCCTTACACTGTTTTAAATTGTCTTAATTGTCCATTAACCATTACTTTATACATAATTTAAAAGCAGTGTAAGGGAGGTAATTCAAATGATGTATTTGATTTATCTCCCTTACACTGCTTTAAATTATGTTTTGTACTAAAGTATTTCTCCATATAAAAATGCTTGTTTTTTGCCCCTTTTTTGGCCCCTAATTCCTAAAATTTTGAGGCAATTACCCCCAAAATCAATCCCAGCATTCCCTTTGTGATATGGAACCTTGTGGTACAATGTCAGAGAGATCCATACACTCTGGCCTTAGTTAGTCTTGTATCATTTTTAATTTTAGTTTCTTGTGTATAATTTGGAGTTTAGTATGGCGTCCATTATCACTGAACTAGTATACATATTTGTTTAGGGGCCAGCTGAAGGACGCCTCCGGGTGCGGGAGTTTCTCGCTGCATTGAAGACCCATTGGTGGCCTTCGGCTGTTGTCTGATCTATGGTCGGGTCGTTGTCTCTTTGACACATTCCCCATTTCCATTCTCAATTTTACTAACACACAAGTTATGTCTGGAAGTTACAAAAATGCTTATTTTTGGCCCCTTTTTCCTTAACTGTTGGTACCATAACCCCCAAAATCAATCCCAACCTTCCTTTTGTGGTATTGAACCTTATGGTAAAATTTCATAGAGATCCATTCACTTAAACTAAAGTTAGAGTGCAAAAACCAATGTGTCTTTGGACAACGACGACGACAACATCATACCAGTATACGATCTCAAAATTTCTTTGCGGTCGTAAAAAAATTGACAAATTAATTATTACAACATTTTTCAAGATAAATTTTTTTTTAAAATGCATAATTTTTACAGGTAAATAAAACTACAGGTAAATGAAGTTACAGGTGTCTTATTACCTATCATCTGGCATTGCTAGGTGTGAAAAATTAATTACTAAAACAACAGCCCCCAATAAATGATGTAAAATATGGGTTGAAAGTACATTGTAATAAATTGGATATTTGAAGACTCACCTAAACAATAAAATATTTCCTGTCTATTAACTGTGAAACAAAAATGATCTTCAGGCAGGAAATGGAAAGTATGATGGACCTTACTCTTACATGTCTTAAGGCTTCTGTAATTTATGGTTTAAACCAAAAAATATATAATGTAAAATAAATTTTACCTTTACCTAATTAATTTTTACTTACACATAGTACAACCACCTTGACCTAAAGCACCTAACTGAAACCTAAAGAGCCCATTTGGAACTTCTATACACTATAAGACAACAACAAAACCAGTGCAAAATGTAATGATTCCAATGCTATAGTCAGTGCAAAAGCCACCTGATGAGTTTCCTTGCCAGGGATGAAACATCTTTTGTACAACTAAATCATTGTAAATCACTGTTTATTAAGAATTTACAATAAAAATAGAAATAAGACCATTTAAAATGGCTTTAACACTTTCATTATTTCATTACTAACATGACTAAAAGATAATTGACCAGGTAGAGAGTGGTTTTTATAGTAATGTCCACTCAAAATTTCAATCGACCAGTATTTGCCAGTATTTCCCGATATTTACCGCCGACATGGTCAATACTAGTATTGACCGCTTTTTTGCCAACCTTGCCTCCATAGTTGACCTAGTGCTTAATTATAGCATCAAAGAAAGAGACCAAACCATGAAATCTTAACTTTGACCAATGAACCATGAAAATGAGGTCATAGTCAGTTGAACTCGCCAGAGAGGCATCTTACAATCATTCTGTTTAACAAAACAGTTGACCTATTGCTTATAGTATCTGAGAAACAGAAACTTGCCAGACAGACATGTACACCTTACAATCATTCCATACACCAAATATAGTTGATCTATTGCATCTAGTATCCAAGAAAGAAACTATGAAAACTTAACATTGACCAAAGAACCTTGAAAATGAGGCCAAGGTCAGTTTAAACCTGCCAGACTGACATGTACACTTAACAATCATTCCATAATCCACATATAGCTGACCTACTGCTATAGTATCTGAGAAACGAACATAATCACATATATTTAACCTTGATCACTGATCAATGAAAAGAGATCCAGGTCAGGGGAACCCTGTCTGACAGACTTGTAGATGTTGCCAGGAACCCACATATCCTATTACTCATAATAAGTGAGAATTTGCCACTGGACGTTAAGCAACCAACAATCAATCAATCATAATAAGTGAGAAATTCACATGACAAAAAAATATACATTTTTGCTATAAACCTATTGCTGAACAATGAAAATGAGGTCAAGGACAATGGACATATGACAGACGAAAACTTTGTCACATATGGCATCTTGGTCTTCTACGGGCTTCTACTCTCTGAAATATGAAGCTTTACACAAACTTTTTACACCACCACCGCCAGATTGTAATCCCTATGTCTCGCATTCTGCACATTTGTCACACGCAAGAAAACAAGATGAAGAATAAAGATGAATTTTGCTGAAAAATGAATAGGTTCCCAAATCTGGAAAGATGAGAAAATTTCATATATTCAATCATCCTGTAAAGTTTAATGGATCTGGGTTGTAAACTGTAGGAGTTGATAACACAAAACTTGTACCCTCAATCAAAAATCAGATTAGAAAAGACAAAGTTATCCAGACTGGAAAAATAAGAAAAAGTTCCTCAATCAATTCCATAATAGCAGGTGCACACGTTCAACATATGAGTAATCTTCCTGTGGAGTTTAAGGGATCTGGGTTGAAAACTGTAGTAGTTGATTACACAAATTAGGTACCCACTATTCCCCTCCAGCCCTCCCAACTTCATCATACCATAAGCCTGCCAAAAATGGTTAGTGTTGTCTGTTGTAATCATGTAATGTCCAATATTTTTGGTGATACCTGTTATTCAATATGTTTTATTTCAATGATGTAAAATCAAAAGATCTTTCCTGCTTACCTGTAATTAACCTTCCATCTAACATCCATACATGAGGTAAACAATCTACTATATGAATGCGATCTGAAAAAACATAATATACAGCTATTATGTACTGCCTTGCAATATTATTTCACATTGAGTGTGGCAAATAGTGGTGATGCCATTCCAAATATATTGGGCTCATGTAACAACATGTGTTTGAAGAAATACATTCTAAATTCTAAAACATAATGACATTGATTACTGGCTCTAAGCTTTAAGTTCTCATCCATGCATGTTGTAAACAATTTTCTGTAAGAATGTGATATGAAAAGAACGCACTGCAGTCAACAATATTTTACACTGAGTGCAGCAAGTAAACATGAATTCATTGCAAATGGAGCTAGCTCATGTAGTAACATATGCAAGAACAAAAAAAAAGGAAATGTACATTTTTTTGTATTAATAGTCTATTCCTTTAAAACACACTTCTCATACTAAGGCACCAACCTTTGTTGTGTCTCTTAGACCCTGTTCACACTAGTTTTTTATAAATCGATCTAAATTTGAATCGATCTAGATAAAACCAGTTAGCGTTCACATTATCTTTAATCCTAAGGATCTCTATTGGTCTAATCTGAACCACTGCGTTCACACTACATATACAAAAGCAATCGATATGACCTAATTATCCATGAAATTGTAAACACTGTGTATAAATAAAAATATCATACAAATTAATGTGTTGATACACGCTTGCAAAAAAATAATGGACGAAGTTATTGTTTCACTTGAATTACAAGTTCAAATGTTGATACTGCTGTTCGTATAGTTTTCGTTAATTTTCAGCCCTTATATGTTGGTCATCCATTTTGTAATAAATTGCACGTGTAATTTTACCGCCATACATGCACGCAAATTATTGCGATTCAACCCTACTAGATTAGATCGATCTCTGTGTTCATATATAAATTTAGATCGGTTAGATGAACTGAAATCAAACTATATATAATCCATGCATCAATATATGACAATAAACCTCGAACTGTGTCTTTTGTAGTTACTGTTAGCACCTTTGATGAAGTGACACCCCAACAATTTCTTTATATAAAACTGCAACTTCCTGTATAATCTTTATATTACAAATATAATGATATTCTTTACGTAACACAAACAAACAATACTTACAATAGGTATCTTTCTCCAGTTGTCGATTTCCATGAAAACTGAGATTGAGGATGTGTAAATGTCTTATTTTTCCAAGTTCGTGCCATGTCAAGTCATTATTTGATAAATTCAGGTTTCCAAGAGCGACAAATTTTGATAACCCATCCAAACTCTTCAACTGCAAAAATAATGAGTGAATGAAAATGTATGTGTTTTATCAACTTTAAATATACTGTGATACATGAAGATTTCAGATTACAAAATGAAAGGATTAGTGTGTGACTTGAAGTATTTACCTTGGCACACTTTCGTACATTCTATTTTACTATTTTACTGCTTTTTTTAAAGTATGTCACAAATCATGAATGAAAAAAAGCCTGAGTAGCCTTTATACTTTTCTAAATATATTTTTGGATCATCAACAAGTTACATAATATTAAATGAACTTTTAAAGAGACCTTTTTTTAACACAAATAACAGTTGTTTTTGAAAACTTTCAGATTGGTACACTATTGCCTACCAAGTTAAGCTATGAACAGTATAATGGTTATGATAGCTTTAGTGCCATTGAACTAAATACTGGGGAATATAATGTCATGAATGATTCACTTTTGTACCTTATAGTTTGTATACTTTTAAAATGCTAATAACTCAAGTGAAAAATTGCTATAACTCTTACAATTCATTGTCAATGTGAGGAATGATTGACAGAAATTAACATAAAAACAATCATAAAAATTGTAATGTACAAGAAAAAACTCTTATTATCTCTTTTATCATTCTAATCCAATTCCAAAATTGCCTTTATTCTGAAATTTGCTTAGCAATTAATAAAATATTAACATTTACATTTTCCTACCTCATTATTACTTAGATCAATATTCCATAATTGCTGACAAGATTCTAAATTAATCACTTCATATAATGCATTTCCTCGAAGATTTAGGGTATGAAGTTTGGCACAGCTGTTTAATTTTTCTATTGTTTCTGGAAAAAAGATGCAAACATTGAGTGTGGTAAATTCCTTTTATCAAGAGTAAGAATTACAAAACTATTATTTACTGTAAGCTGACTCTCTTGCTTGTTTTGTTTTTCATTTTCTATTAATATTGGTAGAGTTTCATAAACCATTGTCTGTCTGCATGGAGCTTAGTACATGCAGTGTATTTTTAGGATCTATAATTCTTCATATAAACAAATACCTTTGCTTTTTGATTAATTCAAACATATATCTTTATTGGGTGGATTTAAAGGGTTCAGGATGATACAGTATTTCTTATCATGTACATTTGAAAGGTCAAATGATGATCATACACATGTATATGTCACATTGTGGATGCATGGATGTTTAGTGTTGAGTTGCAAATTAATTGCATATTCAGGACTTTGTTAATGTGATTTGAATATGAATCCAGCACACTGAGCCTGCTTTATAACTGTCAGCAGAAAGACCTGTCTCTCTACCACATTATTCTAATTCTGAGCTGGCCAGTCATTGCCGATACCTTCTAATGCTGCATGCTATGCAGAGAAGCAGTAAATACAAATTTTAGTCTTTGGTTTGACCTGCCCAGATAAAACCCATGACATCACTACTTGTGCTGAATTTTTAATATTCAAAGGAAGAAAACCAACATGATATTTATCATGTAATTTCAAAATTGTGTATTTCTCTTTTCTGGTCACGTTCTTCTACGATATGTATGGCATTTATGGTTTAATATTTCTATTTAGGTCACATTGGCTTTATTTTTTCACACCTCTCATCTATTAATTATTAAATATCTTATAATGTTTCATATAAATGTAATTGTCCATGTTGATATTCGAAATAAAATCAATTATTACATTGGTTGCAATGAATTACATTGATTTCCCAGTAAAATAAAAACCGATAATTTCACATGTGAAATAAACGTGGTTATTTCACTCCTCTGGCGTCATACAACAATAGGCGTTGTCAAGACGTCGATAACGTCGGATCAAAACAAATTGTGTATGCGTAGAAAACGATATAGTTCCTTTCATTTTCTACTTTAATTTAAAAAAAAAAAAACATTTTCCAATGTAATAAAAAGAATAACTAATCAAAGAATTCAAATATCGAAAAATATTCAACTCGTGACCGAACAACACTGATAATTAACTCATGTGCTACGCGCATTCGTGAATTAATGTGTTGTTCGGTCACTCGTTGAATATTTTTCTCTATTTGAATTCTTCGATTAGTTATTCTATAAATACTTGTTCACTTACTCTACTTTAACAAAGTAATCAACTTTGGAATTTTTTTAATTCAAATCATTTTATCATCAAATTGATAAGACTGCAAGAAAAATAAACTAACATAATTTTCATTGATTGTAGAGGGTTTCTTAAAAAGAGGGGAGGGGTATGTGCTCCATGTACTCAGACAAACTGAAATAGAATCTTATGACAAAGGAATAATAAAAGAAAAAGCTCAGTACACTGTCACACTGCCTTTTTATCAACAAAATAGCAAACATGTTGCAAAAAATTAACCCTAAATGCACTCACATTATATGCAACAATTACGACATGTATTAATATATTCAAAATATATGTAAGTCCTTTCTGAAGAATTTATAAGATTGTTGTCTCTCGTGCATAATGTCTTGGGTACATCCATTTTTTAATCAATTGTTGAATCAAATAAAAAATTTGGATCCACTTTCTTAAGTTGCTGATCTTGATAATAAAGAGTAAGAGATTTCTTTCCTTAGAGGAATCCTGTTAATTCTATTGAAATATTCTTTATTTTAAAATTATGTGCTCAATAATTTCAAAGTTAAGAAAAACATAGCTTAAATGTGTATGCAAATTTTTTTCGTAGATGGGTTTGTAGTTAATCTCACCTATTCCAGTGTTTGATAAATCCAAGTATTCCACTGTTTGCAAAGGCCCTTTTGCTCTGGAACGAATCAGCTGAAAATAAGTTTAAAAACAAAACTTTAAGGGTATTAATTAAGTTGTTTAGCATTGAAAAAAATTTAGACGAGCGCAAGGATTTGTATAGTGAGATCCATTATAAATCCTAAACGAGAGAAAGGAGCATCAGATTTTCTTACCTGTGTGTTTAACCTCATCTTTCCGTTTTCATTAACCTACATCCATGCTTTCAGCAACTTTTGGAAGCACTAGCCAGTTAGCACACAATGTAAATAATACGCTATTTAAAAAAGTGCAAAATTTATTTACGCGTAAAAATGTCAAGGAACCAAACAAACGTGATGTACTTAGTGTTCGTTATTTTGAATATATATTGATGTTTTTATTCACACGAGTAAAAAAATTAATGAAAAACAACAAGAGTATTAGTTACGCGAAAGGATTTCTCGTCGTCTACATTTACTTCCGGGTCAAACTAAATTAGTTTGTTGCTAATGTACACAACATGTATAAAACATATATAAAATGCTTTAAAATGATAATGCGACACTTAGGAAGCCCTTTTTATGCAAATAATAATCCAAAAACATTTTTACGTCGTTTTATTGTATAAATACACTCCCAACGACTTTCATTTCACTTAAATGTATAGGATACCCTAATTTCCCATTAGCAAATAAAATCAATCAAAGGGATGAAACTCTGACATATTTCAGAGGACTTTGAACCAACAGTTATCTCCCATTTATCATTATTATCAATGATTTATATGATCTTATATTTGATAATATTGTGATTTCTTATTTCATCGGTCTCGTGCTAATTTGAATATGCATAAAATATTTGTTGTTGTTGTATATAAGTAATCCTTTTAAAATAGACAAAAAACCCGCTGCAATATATTTGCACCTGTCCTAAGTCAGGAATCTGATGTCACAGTCAGTAGTTTTCGACGGTTTGTTGATGTGGTTCATAAGTGTTTCTCGTTGCTCGTTTTTTATATAGATTAGACCGTTGGTTTTCCCGTTTGAATGGTTTTACACTTGTAATTTTTGGGGCCTTTTATATCTTGCTGTTCGGTGTGAGCAAAGGCTCCGTGTTGAAGACCGTACTTTGACCTATAATGGTTTACTTTTATAAATTTTGACTTGGATGGAGAGTTGTCTTATTGGCACTCATACCACATCTTCTTATATCTAAAAACACAAAAATTAGTAGAAAAAAATCGTCTTTAAGGGCTATATAACCCCTTAAAGGGTCATCCAATGGTTTCTGTGATCGATATGGTATTTTTGTAGATCATGCCAGGAACATATATATTAGATATACTGTTCCCAGATCATGAATTGCTGATAATTTTTGCATACAACAGTTTCTTCCTATCTATTATAGTGTTTGAAATAATATGCAAAAGCGTAAAAATTAGCCAAAATTTTTCGTGTTTTTGCCTTTTATCTCAAACGCTATAATCAGTGAAAATAGCCTAGGTTGAAACTGTAAATCACAATCTAGAGCTACAACAATACCAATATGACAAAACCATTGGATGACTCATTGAGCAGTAATATTGCCCTTTGAAGATGATTCTTATCCTTTTTTGTTCGGAGAAATCTATAGTACTACGGATAGAATAAACTATAAACAGCAAAACTGATCAGCAATAAAATATACACATTCTTTTATTTCAATTTCTCTCCCTAATATTTTCTATTTTCTATTTATTTTAGATCTATCACTTCTTTAAACTGAGGTCAACAATTAATAGATACATTTCATACAACAACATCATTGAATAACGTTTCAAAAGTTTTAATGGAGAAGAGCTTTGGAAAAAAAAACGGTGACCTAGCTATAATCGCTTAAATCCACTTCCTTTTGACTCTGTTGAATAGTTGTCTCATTGGCAAACAATTGTGTTAAACATGCCTTCAAATCAATTTTTGTCTATTTTTTATTTTCAAAACGTAAACTGTCTCGCCCCCATCAAGTGATACGTACGTATGACAGTGAAAATGAACTATCTGGATCCGCATCTCCTTATTTTATATAGATACGATTTTTTTTATTGAAATCCTCGCTAGTGGAGTGAAACTTCCGTAATAATCCGCTATGTTTGAGATGAAATTTGATACAAGTTTTGAGTCTTATATTATGACGTATATGTTCTTCTCCTTGTTGCACATAAAGGTCGTCTGGTTATGGAAATCACGTTCACGAAGATCTAATCTGAGATGTCACTTTTTCTTGAATTTTTATAAAAATCAGAGTATACAAAATGCGGATCTATATAGTTCATTTTCACTGTCATACGCGAGTATTACTGTTGTAGAATAAAGGATGATATGGAAAAACTGTTTACATTTTGAAAATACGAAATACAAAATAATTGATTTGAAGGCACACAATTTCAATAGAGTATGACTATTCAATTCATAATTACAGGATTAAAGTCCAAATATGTGTGTTTAAAGCCGCATAATCTAGAATATCGATCATAGAAAGCAATTTATTTTAACTATAAAGGCGATGCGATCTTTTCTGATGTGGGATTTTCGGAGGTGCGATGAATTTTCGTGTAAACTATTCAAAACAAGCCAATTAACCATGACGGAAGGCGCAAAGCAATTTAACCTCGGTTGAAATGAGAAATGTCAATGCTAATACAAATGCATACCAGATACCATTGGTTTATAAGCACAAATTTGAACATGTCAAGCTGCACAAGTTTCAGTCAATGAACCATAATGAGGGGACGGGGCCAAAGAATCTCCATGCCATGGTGATGAGACGTGCAAATGCTAATACAACTGCATACCAAATATTATTGACTTACCATTAGTGATTCATCTTAAACTGACTTTATCACATACTTTAAATTGTAAACTATGAAAAGTCATTAGACCATGATTGAGAGGCCGCCGAGGCCGGGGCGGGTCAAATAATCTCCGTGACAATGAGATCTAGTGGTGCTAATAAATAGGCATTATTAAATCCTTCTGACTTTATTTTGTTGGTGAGCGAGTCGACGGAATTAAGACTTAATTTGAAAAAAAAATAAAATTTCTACTTTGAAAATGCATCGCATATGCCATACAAATGAATCGCTCCTACAGTGAAAACGAAAGTATCATGCCATTATTCAACTATTTTAAGTTATACAACATTAATGATTAGGTTAAAAGGTATATTTTTGTGAAAAGATATCTGTACTGCTGCTTTGACATCTCCAGTACTGTACACTCTGTTCGTGAAATCTTCTAAATATTTACCAATCTGAATGGCTGTAGGCGCGATCAAAAACCCGTCCGCATCTCTTACTTGTATCGCGAATTTATAAAAACAATACATTTGATATATTTTTTCTTATTTTATTCAAACATCCTTAATTTTTCGTCTGTTTCTTGTATCATTAGAAATATATGACAGATACTGTAAATCCGCATTTTGTATACATTGGAAATGTACAAAACGAAAAAGTTGCATTTCTCAAATGTTTACATTTAAAAATGAACGTGGGTCCATTTTTTTTACCATTCAGCGGCACGTTAATATAAAAAAATCAATGTATTTGTAGTAACATCGCCTCTCCCAGGAAGCCAACATTTTAAAAACAAAATGAGGCGGCTATCACAATATGGATAGGCCCTTATTCAAGAAAATCCGATTACTAGAAAATTGACTATTTAAAGGCGACAGCGTTCTTAATCAGCGAAAGTTAGGTTGTAGCCACTTATTAAAGGTATTCGGTGTTTTCATTTCATTCAACTGACTTTATCATTGCTAGTTTCATTGCTCTTCATTATTGTGAAGCAGTCATTGATGTAAAAAATGTTGTTTTATTGAATAAACTGACCTTAATTTGAGCTTTTCCTTCTAAAATAACATAAAAAAAGCAAACAAACAAAGACCCCCCTTTCCAAAAAAAAAATTAAAAATCAAATCAAAATCAAAAACAGAAACAATTAAAAAGTCAATTGTTCGTGAACAATTGAGAGGTCTTTCCTTTTCGTAATGTAAAATATATGTTAAAATAGCTGTAAAAATCATTGAAAAGCTCTAAAACACACATTAAACATTTAAATAATGGTCAAAAACACATAATTCGCAATTTGGGACATGACCTTGACTTTTGACCTTATGACCTTTGTTAAGGTCATTGGTCCACAATGTCATTACAAAAGACCCCATGGGTCTAGGAACTTTGGTTCAAGAGTTAAAGCTAATTTTACCTTTTTCAGAAATCGTTAACGGGGGTTATGCCCCTTACGGATAGGTCAAATCTCTTCGGTCAAATGTAAAAAAGTTGCGCCTTAATGACCCAAATATTTTTCACTATTCACGATTTCTGTAAGTATAAGGGTTTTTGAGATGTCCCATAAAAAGTTGTAAGTTCAAAGGTCAAGGTCAACTTAAAAAACTTTACAACACACTAAAAATCCTATAAATAAGGTCAAAAACACATAATTTGCTATTTAGCATGACCTTGACCTTTGACTTTGTGACCTTTGTCAAGGTCATTGGTCCCCGATGTCATTGCAAAATTTTTCCAGTTTTCAAGACTTCTGTAAGTATAATGGTTTCTGAGATCATCCCATAACAAGATGTAAGGTCAAAGGTCAAGGTCAACCTTAAAAATTTGACCTTGAGGCATTTTAAAGGTCACATGAATTGATGATCATTGGTGAATCCTAGGTGGCTACGACTTACGGTTTCTGAGTTTAAGTGGCCAACCTACATCGGTAAATTTTCAAAGGGGCATAACCCTACCAATGAGTCTTCGAATCTAACAAAGAACCAGGGTATGGTCCTGAACAAATTTCATCCTTCGTTTTTATCTACCTCTTACGGTTACGGTGTTCATCCCATAACAAGGTTTTCGGTGTTAGGGGAGATAACCGCTATAAAGGAAATGTTACGGCGTGGTGCCCTTACCACAAGATAGCTTTTTGTCAACCGAAACTTGATACCTAATATCATTTCAACATGTCGGGTACTTTTTTGGGGGGAGGGGGGGTGTCGAATTTAAACCTGTTAAACAGCTTAGCGTAAAACAAGTGAAAATAAAATGTTTTACGATTGTGTTCAGACCTTAATGCCAATGTTTACAGTATGGAGTATTAACAGAGAGGTGTGCAAGTTAATTTAAAAAAAAAATTTTGATAAATATTTTATTTTGGTTATTATTTTGTTAATTGGTTTTTCTTTATTGCTTTCCTCACATTTCTAACGGTTTTATATTATCATATTTTACACTTCATTTCAGTTGTGTTGTCTATTTTTTTAACTTTTAGGTAGAACTACAAGTAAATGCTGATTTCGTAAATTTTAAACACTATGAATGCAAGAGGAGCAGCACATTTGCATCAAACATAGTATTAAGGTATCTAGGGTAAAACCATTAGAATCCAGCACACACACATGTAAAACTCATACACAACTGGAGTGCAATATGTTCAAAAAACAACATGACCTGACGAAGAACATTTTGAGCGAAAAAGGTTTAGGTACACCAGCTGTCTGTATATCATCAGCCGACAACTATACAGTGCAGAAATGGCCAATAATGCATGACAGTTTGTACTATCGATTTTATTGAATGCGATGTTTTTTGGTTGGAATATATCAGACATTTCCATTACATCATTTGGTTTTCTACTTGTAGAAGTTATAGATGAGGCAATCTCGTCTGCATGTGGTTGGCGTTATCTTAATTATAAGTATACGCGGTTTCTTCATAAAATTTGGCTTTGACTTCATATCTTCTGTATTATTCATTCATTACATATTTACAATGAATGGCGAGATATAGACCTGCTTTGGGCAATTGTAAATTGTTTGTGAGACTTCTTGACACATATTTATTTTCAATTTTGTCTGAAAAAAATACCTTTGTGTTGGCGTCTTATTAACCTTATCCAACATCGATCTCTCTTTGTTCATATCAATGGTGTCAAAAAAAGTATTTACAATGAATGTTAATCTTTGATTACCATTGTGTCATACTGGTGATGCATCTTCAAGTTCGAAGATAAGTCACTTGATAAATTAAGATACAGCCGTGGTTTACAACGATTCTTGTCCTTTGATTTTTTCAGTGAGTATCCTAGTATGATCTCATTTAATTTGTCTAACTAAAGCCATTACAGAAAATTTATTTGAACTGACAATGAAATGCGTATCATATCAGAGCTAGTCAGCAAATGTTTTAATTTAGCTTTATAAGTTTGTTTTTTCTACAAATTTGTATGTTTTCGTAACTTATCCAGGTAAGACCTGACTCAAAACCTTATTACATCAGTGAACAACAATACATATGTAATATATATAAATATATATATTACTAAACCAATATTAGATTTCCCTATAGGCAGTAAGTTGTCTTGTTTATGTCAAACATCAACATAGTTCACCTGAATGAAATTTTTTGATGTTAGCAAACCACGTGATTCTTTTTTTACCTGTACCGGCTACGTGTTACTACTTACTCATATATACAAAAATCATATCAATAATTCGTATACCTTTGGACGGAGTACCTGTAATCGTTTGACCAGATCAAAATGCCGGTAAGACATCATTTATCATTTGAGTTTCATATAAAAATTTCTAGACTTGTATTTCATTTTAGTTTAAAGTTCGCCTACACTCATTTTCTAAGCCAGAAGTTACCGGCTTTACATGTTATTTGATGAGAAACATTAATAACTGGGCGTTGTTCACGATAAAAAAGTATGCTTGAAGTTGCCAAATTAAAAGATCCGTTAGTTAAAATGATTTTTATTTACTCTTTGATTATGGTGTACACATATGAACGGCATATACGCAATTAGAACACCCTCAATACCTTAAAAGAAAACAGCAGTACGGGGATGCTGTTCGTTCATGCACATAGGATAAAGGTCAAACTAATTTTCAGGGTGTAATAAGGTCAGACAAAGTATACTTCAACAACCTACATGTAATTGTCTACCATCTTATTAACAACCCTGGTAAAACCTGCCAAAACTGTGAGCTTTATTGATTTTCCATTTACAAAATCGTGAAGGGAATTGAACTGATGTAAATTATTTAGGTACTTATATAGATAATTTTTGCCATACTTGATTGATTTGTGCAAGGACGTATATTAGATTGTTAGTTATACGTCCTTGATTTGTGCATCTTCCATAAATTCTTTAATCAAAAAAACTTTTCCTATTGCAAAACATTGGCGATACATGAGAATCAGTGGGGTTGGTATGCATCTTGTATCTTTGAGTTTTCCAAAACAAAACAAGCACTTTTACATATTCTGCATCTTCATGTGGATGGGGGATTAACACGGCCACCCGTCTTTAAAAAGAAACCTATAGAGAGTGTTATATTAAGACACATAGGTAATTTTGCCAAGTGCCTGTGGGGAGTAGGTTGAATCACGCAGAAGAATAAGACGAGAACATTATTTTTGGCAAAATAAAAATGTGAAAAATTTTACTCCACGTCTGTGTATATATTTCAACGCTTGCGTCATCCGTTCTTTTACAATAAATAAATTGTTATTCGTTTACTTTAAAATAATCACGGGTATAATATATATGATCTGTTTAGGAATTTTACTCGATAATTTAATGGGCTTATGATATTTACCTAGCGTAGGTGTTAAATATTTCAATAAAGATAAAAAGCATGTACATGTACGATAACATTTATATACACCTACGCTAGATGACAAACATGTCATCAAAAAAGTTTATCATGGGTGGGTAAAAGGGACAACGCAGATCCTGTCCCCTCTCAGACACATTTTTTTTACCTAAGAATAATGAAATCATTCATAGAATTCCGGAATGTTTAAACATTCAGGTCTCGGACCTTTTTAAAGATGACACACGGTAGCAGATAACTTGATAATGCATAACAATACTACTGGATTATAATCAATTTGAAAGCGTTGATTGAATTTGATAAAATTTTACCAACATTTCCTTACAAACCAGAACGGAGAGTTGTCATGACTAAAGCTACTTAAAATCTACCGTAAAAAATGCACCCCAGAATTAGTGAAAGAACGCCGCATGACTTAGCTTACCAACATTTCTTATAGTCTGCTATGGGTTGGATACACATTGTTAATGTCGAAAGTCTTTTAAAAAAAACTTTGAAAGTTATGCCATTCACGGGTAATATGCTAGTAGATAAGTATCCAGTCATAGGAAACAAAATCGTTTGGCCCCTATACATTTTAAATGACAATGATTTTGATTATGAGAAGGTGCCAATCTAATTAAAATATAGAACTCGGATTTCGTTATACTACGTATACATGTAGTATAACGAAATCCGAGTTCTATATTTTAATTAGATTGAGAAGGTGCAAGAGATCCAACCTTTTTATCACATAGTAACTTGATATCTTATGTAACATATCACATATCATATCAAGTTACCTATCACTCTATTTTATTGAATCTCAAAATATAATGCTATTGTCATGTCAAATGTTTATGCCCTTCGGAGCTCTCTTCTTCTTCTTTTAAATATATTTTTTGTTTTATTTAGTCTCCTACAATCGTACCAAACTGGAATTACGACGAGGCTGTAGAAGCTGAAGCAGCTGAACAACTGAGAAATGCTATGAAAGGATTCGGTAAATTTTATAAGTCAGAACTCTCATGAAGATGTACAGTAACCGTTGAAAACTTCGCACATTTTGTTATCACCAATCTTTTAAACATTTCGGTAAACTTATCCCATTTTATATCGCCAATATACATATCGAATTTGCATTCCTACTGAAGATCATTTTGTAAAATAACACAAAATAGCACAATACGAAAATGAGTGTGACGAGTACACTGGAAGATCGTCAAAATTATAATTGAGCGAGAAATAATTATAGTTACACATAAGAAAACTATTAATAGTCTGTCTCGTATTATTAACGCCCACGGTAAGTAAACAACCCAAAGCTTATTTTGAAAACAAGAATACAGGCGGCATAATGGGGAGATAATTATAAGCCTATAGACATGTTAAATACACAATAAGTAGGATGGAATAATAAAAAAAAATAACGAACTGGTCACTCTATAGTTTAAATGCGAGCAAAGCGAAATGTTACGAATCCTAATCGACATCCTTCGGGTACACTCTGAGACCAAAAATACTCAAGATGACCATCAAAACCAAAAAGAGGACAGTACGTATAAGTCAGGATATAAACCTTCATGCTGTATTTTGATTCAATGTGTTAATGAGTGAAGCATATTCATTAAACCCTTTTCAACAGTTTTGAGAGTTGGTGGTACTTTGTTTTTGTCTCGCGTAGACCAAGTAAAAAAAGCGAGACTTGTGCGTGCTGTTTTCGGTGACAGCGGCGTCAACAAGGTATAAGTGTGTGATAAGGCCAGTTTAAGGGGAACCACTAGTGGTTGGTCAATGACATTTTTTATATAGTTGTATTAGCATTTACACTTCTCATTTCCGTGGAGATACTATATCCCTCATCATGGTTCATTGACATTGATTTTTTTTTGCATCCATAATTTGTGTTTAGGTAAGTTTAAAGGGAACAACTTATGATAAGTCAAAATGAATGGTATTTGGTATGCATTTGTATTAGCATTGGCATTTCTCCTTCCCACGGAGATTATTTTGTCCTGAACCATCAGTAATGTTTCATTGACTTTGAATGTTTTACATTATTTACACGTTGAAGTATTGCCAATTTAATTTCAACATTTGCATTAAAATATCAAAATTACGCAAAGGCGAGATATATCTCTATGTGAACAGTTTATTATAAAGAAAAAAGGACTTTTTGTATCTAATTATATTCGCAGTAATAATTTATGTATTTGTCCATAAATTCTGCATTTTCTTGTTCAATATATATGTTAGTTGAAAACTGTTACGCGATACCTTGTTTATCCATTATACTTTTTCTCATATCGGCCGTGATTTTATTTCATTTAAACGCTGGTCTGTAAAATTAGCTTGCATGTGTAAAATACCTTGCATTTAATGATTTTGAAATCAGTTAATTAAAGTGGCCAAAGAAAAATCCAACGACATTAATACCGTTGTAGTATATTTTACATTTAGAGTTGTTTTCCTTATTACAGGTACAGATGAAGCAGTGATTATAGAATGTCTCATGAAATACAGTACCGAGCAAAGAATTAAAATAGCCGAAACCTTTAAACAAGCCTATGGACAGGTAAAAGAGTGGATATATTTTAAAGTTTTGTTTAAAGAGATAGTGATATCCTCTCCGACAATTATGAATCGAAAATCTAAATTCATTTTTGTTACATTAAATGTCATTACCCTATAACAATGCAAAAGGAATTAATAATTCTCCAGAAAAGCACTTGCTGTTTCCAATTCTTTTTCCATTCACACGTGTGATTCTCGAATATATAAGTGCGATTCGGAAAAAAATATGGCGATACGAAAGCAAATCAAGAAACTATATTTATATAGAGAGATGACAAGTGTGACTGATCGTAAAATTGTTGAATCTTGAACATAGCAATAATGGCATAAAACGTGATTCAGACATCTCTCCATAAAAGTGTAGATAATTCATCTCTCCATACAAAGTGACTAGTGTAGATTGTTCATCTCTCCATACTAAGTGTAGATCATTCATCTTTCCATACAAACATTCATCTCCATAAAAAGTGTAGATCATTCATCTCTCCATACAAACATTCATCTCTCCATAAAAAGTGTAGATCATTCATCTTTCCATACAAACATTCATCTTCATACAAAGTGTAGATCATCTCTCCATACAAAGTGTAGATCATTCATCTCTCTATACAAATAGTAGATCATTCATCTCTCCATACAAAGTGTAGATCGTTCATCTCTCCATACAAAGTGTAGATAATTCATCTCTCTATACAAAGTGTAGATCGAGAACATATGGAGGTGCACAAATTTATTATCATTTGCACAAGGTACTGATACTATTTTTGAATAGTATAAATGGCTATTATATACAAGATATTTGTGTAGAGCGGTTTAATGATAATCAGCTGAAATGGTAGCTGGTCTTTAATTTCCAATGCGTGCATATATATATGTATATATATAGTAAGTTACAGTACAGAAGTGATCCAACCATTTAATGTGAACCTACGTATTGAAGATACTTTATTATTTATATTCTTATGACTTATTTTCAGAGTGCATTTTCTAAATTTTATTAACAGGACCTTATTGAAGAGCTGAAAGGTGAGCTTGGTGGAGATTTTGAGGACACTTGTGTGGCTATGCTAACACCATCCAGACTTTTGGATGTCAAAGAGTTAAACAAATCAATAAGTGTAAGTAAACATTCGAGCATGACTCGTTTTATAATGAGTTATTTAGTACTTGAAATAAAAGATTTTGGAAAAAGTTTAACCCATTTTTGCTTAAGTATGTCCTCAGATGAATAATACTTGAGGCAGAAATCTAAACTCATCGATATACATAGATCTCCTTAAGTAAAAACAATTTATAAATAAAAAAAAAATGCTTATGCTTGAAAATCTTTCTTCGACAGGGTGCTGGAACTGACGAATCAACACTGGTGGAGATAATGTGCTCTAGGTCAAATGAAGAAATAGAAGAGATTAAAGAACTTTACGAGAAAGGTAAAAGGAGATCTGTAATTAAATAAAGGAATAGCCTAAAGCGTTACAGGGATTTTTCGAGAGAAAACAGTTTTGCTTTTGAATATTGAAAAAATAGATAAATTGTTTGCACCAAGAATTAAAAAAAAAGAATATTTTTAATATCTGACGAAAAAAAAGATTGTTGTGAATAGAAAATTATATTTTTTTGGCACGACAGACGTCAACTTTTTTCAGCTCACTACGCTCTGCTCAATTGTTTCATATCTTGAATTAATTTTCCTTCCTTCTTTATCAATATAATCTGAGATGGGGTAAATTTTCCCCCTTCTCCCTTGCTTTCTGGTACTTCTCATGTTGTGTACTTTTGACAGAATACGAATGTTCATTGGAAGACGCCTTAATGGGAGACACAGGTGGATACTTTGGTAGATTAATGAGAGCATTGGTACAAGGTGGACGAGACACTGATGATGTAGATTACACGAGAGTAGAGGAAGATGCCCAGAAATTATTTGATGTAAGTTTACCGAGTTTTACTTATGTTTTTAGATGTAAGTCTACCGAGTTTTACTTACCTTTTTGGAATACATTCTTTAAGGGACGATATGATTATTTATCATCATTTCAATTCACCCTTCCGAGGTTAACTTTATTTCAAATCTCCACCTTTACAATCGCGCAGTAAATTGGAATAAAACCATAATTTACAGACCTTTGGTTTCAAAATTTTATCTGATATTTCCTATTGAACTTCATTTTGAAATCTAAAAAAAAATATGACTAAGGATGTTTAATGTATGTAATTTTGCTTTTCTATCGTCTTGGCGACGTCATAGTCTCTCAGTTGGTATATTCCAAATGGGTTTACAAGTTCATAACATCGGTAATCTACTGTCACCGCCTGTTATTCATTTTAAAGTAAATTTCGCCGATCAATGGGATATAGTTAAGCGACAATACATCCAATCTTATGTACTTAGTATATGAATATACATGTAGAAAGTGAACTTTGATCCTTTTTGTATAATGTTTTGTTGATTGTTGTTTTGTGCTTAACGTCCAGTGGCAAGTATTTCATGCATATGCAGAACGAGTTTGTTTTGTGTAATGAATTATATCAGTTTCTTAAATTGTTTCAGTATGGTTGGTCTGTACTTGAATGGTTGCATATAACATATGAGTTAGTTTCGTGTCATCTGTCTTTATTTTTAGGAATATTATAGGCCCAAGGGGCTCAACATACATTATTGCAATTTGAATAATTAATAGTTGCAAATTCCTGCTACACGTTTATTTTTAGACTGCATAATTAGGTTGATACCCTCGAAAAGCAGCCCAGGCTGGGATTAGGGACCGTTGACAATTTTTCTGGGAATGGTTCCAAAGAGGATTTTTTTTTTAAGAAGGTAGATTTTTTTTGAGCGGCAGTGTTGAAGAAGTGAGCACATTTTGACCCTACTTTCAAATTATGTGTCGTCTATATAAATTCCTTCTTTAAGTTATCGTTCATACTATTGGTTACTTGGCGGTGCAGGTTTCAACGCTTTAATATTGTGTATTTTTCTTTTACGACATATGGTTTGAATGGACACATCATGAGGTTTGTAAGCATGTTAAAACTGGTTAATAGACTATCTGGACCATGTGTTGTTCGTTTTTTTTGTCTTTGTGTGTGTATTTTTTCGGAGGAGTCGGTGATTGGTGTGGTTTGTAGTACATGTGTACGATGATTTCAGGAACCCGTTTGTGTACTATTAAAGAAAGCTGAGGCAAAAGAGATAACTGTGGTAAACAGAATAACATGTTCACTTGATTACACTTATTTTTAGGCTGGTGCCGCACAATTAGGAACTGAGGAGGCCGAAATCAACTCTATTCTGTGTGTAAGAAGTTTTGACCATCTACTAGACGTTTTTGCAAAGTATGAAGAATTGTCTGAGGGTACTTCATTGGAGGATGCCATCAAAAGCGAGACAAGTGCAGATTTGCAAGATGGATTTTTATCAATCAGTAAGAATATGTTTTTCATCGAAAATCTAGAATATTTACTTATTTCATTAGCGATAAACAAGCTGTCATTGACGACTTGCACGTGACATGGCTTCAATGTATTAAAATAGATTAGAGGGTATAATCCAATGAGACAGATAATCAACACAAATAAAACTTTTAAAGGTCGAAATAACGTCACTACAATTGCCATATTTTCGTATTGCCATATCATATGTGGATTTACATTCATAAAAGCCAACCTGGACCAATCTGATTAAGATATAAACCTCTGATTTCGTTATGCATATACAGGGACAGTCTATACTAATATACGAGCACGTGAGTGATATATCTGTATTTTTTAAAAATTAAATTGCATAAAAGAGAAACTACAGCCATTTTCTTTTTGTTGTAAAAAAAAAAACGATTTATTTCGGACAGATTTTGTGTACATCACCATGTTCGTAAAGTGTAAACAGCATCCTGTGGAACCCCCTTTTTGTTTGACAACAAATGCTACTGTATTGGAACATATGGTTGGAACCTCCCCTTTTTATATGACTTGCATGTGTTGGAACACCTTTTAAAAATGGCTGGATCGAACCCTGGCATCCAAACCAAACCGTAAAAATATAATAACACTGCAACACTCTTTTAAACTAAGTTCCTGAATGTTACATTTATTCCTGTTTAGCAATGATAATAAGTATGATGACATGTACAATTTGTGTACTCCGGAATGTGGAGATGAGCCAATTTGGCAGTTAACTATTGAAAATAACGTTTGGTTGCTTAACTGTCAAGATTCCCATAGAGAAACAGTGCTCATTTCATCCTTTTTTTTCAGTTCAGTGTGCCAAAAATAAACAAAAATATTTTGCTACGAGACTGAACAAAGCTATGGAAGGATGTGGTACAGATGATTCCGATTTAATCAGACTTATTGTCTCGAGAAGCGAGGTATTGTTTTATTAATTATAGGTGTCATGGCGTTGCTTAATTTCAGTATAGTCAAACATAAATTATCTTAGGAATGTTGGTAGTAATTTAACACGGAAGACTACCATGTTTTGATAAATTTCAAAGTATATAGCATTTTCTTCATTGTAAAAGCCAAGAACAGGCAGATGTTGAAAATTGGATTGTGGCAAACTTCTCTTTTATTTGGCACTAGAAAGCTGCGGATTTTAATATCTTAGTTCTAGTGTTGTTATTTTTAACCTAGGGTATTTAATATTTGTAATGATATTTATTTTATTTGAATTATTTGCACATCATCTGAACATGTATAGTTTAGTTTTCATTTTGAACAAATAAAGACCTAAAGGATTTAAATTGTTCATTTATTTTTCTATTCAAAGGTCCAGATTTCACATCACAATGCAATATGAGTTAACGTCAATTGTGAAATTCAAATATCAAATAGTATAAATTATATAATGCTATTTTTGTTTTGATAATGTTGCACATACCCATAAACTCAATGATTATCAAAACGTTATTCAGCGCTTAACGTTGCTGTTAAATACGCAATATTTTGATTTTCATCTGAAAGACAATACATAGGTTGACTTCAAATAGAATTTGGATTTTGGTTGATATGTCATTCTTGCTCATTTTTGTCTCGCTTCGACGAAGTCGAGAATTAGGCGTGCTGTTTCCGGCGGCTGCGTCAACAACGGATTTGTTTGTAATTATGTTAGAACAAGGAGTAAATAATAGTGGTAGGTCAATGGTATTTGGTATGCAGTTGTATAAGCATTGAACATCTTATTTCCATGGAGAGTATGTTATACAAGGGAACCGATGGGAAATAAGTAGAAAAATTCTCCGACTGGAAGTTGACAACCATTGAAACAATTGACACTATATTAGTTAGATTCAATATGCAGTATTGACTAGTTTAGTATACTTAAAAATATTAGTAGATGGGTAAAAAATACAACACAATAGTGACCAATATAAGCTTAAGTGAGCTTCAAGTTTGCCATTGATTTATAAGATATAAAAATAAGATGATGATTACCAATGAGACAACTCTCCACATGAGACCAACATGACGTAGAAGTTAGCAACTATCGGTCGCTGTACTGCCTTAAACAATGAGCAAAACCCATACCGCATAGCAAGCTTTAGAAGACCCTGAAATGACAAGTGTAATAAAAACTTCAAACGAGAAAACTAACGGCCTGATTTATGTACAAAAAAATAAACGAAAACCAAATATGATCTATAGCAACAAACAACAACCACTGAAATACAATTACAGGTTCCTGACTTGGGACAGGCACATACAGATTGTGGCGGGGTTAAACATGTTTGCGGATGTCCAACTTCTTATATGATAAGATAGTTGTTTAACAGCACAACATAAGAACAAACTATAAAAATCCGTTGAAAAGCGCTTAACTCATCATATCGATACAAAGCACAAAAACAACTAACAAAAACAACGACATGTGAGAACTCACAGTTACTGAAAGCTAGTTCAAAGCCAATAATAACTAATAAAATAAATCAAAATGCAATTATATTATCAATATTATTTATTTCAGATTGACTTAGGCGATATCAAAGACGAATTTCAACAATTATATGAAAAATCCTTGGAGGAAGCCATTGAAAGCGAGTGTGGTGGGGATTACAAAAGAATGTTACTTGCACTTGTCCAGGGAAATCATTAACCAAAATTTTTACATAGACATAATCAATGATAATTCAGTTTAGAGTTGGAGGCTTCTCCAAAAACAAAGTTATACCCTTTGTCATTTTACCAGCAAAGTTTACAAACAGTTAAAATTATACTGCAATGACTATGATTAAAATGAAAGCTTTTGGAAATTAGCTTTTTCAACTTTTAGTTAACACACGAGACTAGATTTATATTTATGTTTTTTTCTGATATAAATTTTATGTACAGAGATTTGTTACTTGTCAAATTATATTACATCTTGACCGGTATTTTTTTTTTATGCATACAAGGAAATATTGGGATAAAGTTCAATTGGATAATCATTGGTATACAAGAATTTAGATAAATGTAAACATCTATATAACTGACTCACAGTCTAAATATTATTTGTATATACATATGCACATTCATGGCTCTACAATCTGTCGATACCTGTAGCTTGGCATTGCACAAGGTCATGTTTCTCTCTGACTGTTTATGACGTCTTTACACTTAATCCATTGGAGGTGTACTGATTGATATTTTAGTCTTAGATGCACGATTTTTTTCATTAGTTGTTATTGGCTTTGAACTAGCTGTCAGTAACTGCAAGTACTCTCAGATCTGTACTCAGTGTCTTTCTGTTGTGTGGATGTAAAAGTACCCGTCCACGTCCACTTTGTGTTTTTGATAGATGTATTTCTATCTGTATCCATCCGATGAGTTAAGCCTTTTTAAACTGATTTTTATGGTTTGTTCTTATGTTATACTGTTACACCACTGTCCCAGGTTAGGGGAGTGTTGGCGCCTTCAAACGAGTTTAACTCCGCCACATTCTGTACGTGCCTGTCCCAAGTCAGGAGCCTGCCTGTCCCAAGTCAGGAGTTGTCGTTTGTTGCTGTGTATCATATTTGTTTTTCATTCATTATTTTGTACATAAATAAGGCCGTTAGTTTTCTCGTTTGAATTGTTTTACATTTGTCATTTTGGGGCCTTTTATAGCTGACTATGCGGTATGGTCTCTTGAGGAGAATGTCTCATTGGCAATCATATCAAAGAAAAAAACCATGAAGGAACCACATAATCTCTACCAGTCAAATCAAAATGATACAAAGAAAAACATATAATACAAATATGTCCGCAAAAAAATGTTCACTCAGGTGCTGATAATAACTATACTAATAACAACTTATTACAAAAAAATAAAAAAAAAATAAAGAGGAAGCACTATGCGGCAAAAACTATTTACTGTTACGTCATTTCCTTTTTATAACCCTCTCAAATATAGAATATAAAAAACAAAAAACAAGATGTGGTATGATTGTCAATATGACAACTATCGACCATAGACCAAATGACGTAGAGTTGAGCAACTATAGGTTACCATAAGGCCTTTAACAATTTGCAAAATCCATACCGCATAATAAAAGGCCCAAACATAACAAAATGTAAACAGTCCAAACGAGAAAATCAATTTGGGGTTTGTCCTTTAACTGAACGGCCTGCTTTATGTACAAAACAATAAACAAAAAAGTAATATGACAAACAACAACCAACATGAACCACTCAGAATTATAGGCTCTTGTTTGGGACAGTCATATTCCGTTGGTTGATACAGTCGGACGTTTGATTTAGGCAGGTTTTATGGACTTTCCTCTTTTGAATTTACCTTGGAGTCTCGTATCTTTATGTGTTATCCTTGTCCGTCTGTACGTCCTTCTCAATATTAGTTTCCGTTCTCTATCTTTAGTTTGCCTCAACCAAATGTTATGAAACTTAATATATACAATGCCCGGCACAAGCACTTGTCTCTTATATGAATTACATATATATTTTATTATATAAAACACGTGTTATATTAAAGTATATAGGTTTTTTTCAGAGACAAGTGCCTGTGCACAATGCTTATTACAACAAAACAGATGAATTTCGAACTGGGTGGCGTCACTTCTTCCGTTCTGGAGTTATGCCCAATTATATATGGAAAAATATTGAATTTTTCGTCTCCGTTCTCTAACTTTCGTTTACCTCAACCAAATGTTATACCAGACCACCTAGTGGTAGTGTGTTCGCCTCGAGTGCGGCAGGTTGTATGTTCGAACCTCGGCCGTGTCAAACCAAACTTTAAAATTGGTATTTGCTGCTTCTCCGCTAAGCCGACGCGGCATTAAGAAGTAAGAGCAAAGACTGGTCAGCTCGGAGTCGGAATAATGTGTCCGGGTAAGGTGACATGTCTTCCTGCGGACTGTTACCTTGTGAACTAGCACCTTAAAAATCGGGCTCAGCGTGTCGGTCTAATATTCATTCTCGTCCTGATTATGCATTAATTTGCCGCAGCCATCATCATCATCATAATCATCATCATCATCAAATGTTATACACAATGCTTATTACCACAAAACTCCGATCAAGTTCGAATTTGGGAGGTGTCACTTTTACCGTTCTCGAGTTAAGCCCGTTTATAACGATGTTTGCAAGCGAGGGTATCATCTGTGTCCCATGGACACATTCTCCATTTATTGTTAATATGTTTATACAGAATCTGTTGGGGTTAAACAAGTTTGCGAGCGCTCAATACTCACCCAACCTGGGACAATGGTGAATCAGCTCAACATAAGAACAAACTTTAACAATCAGATGAAAAGGGCTGAACTCACCAGACCGACATAAAACACACACAAGTCAACAAAACGGAATGGATCCAAATTACCGATCTGAGAGTTCTTGCTTTTCCTTAAGTGTATAAGCTAGTTCAAAGCCAATAACAACTTAAAAAAAAGAACAGAGTTCCAATGTTGCCCGCGTTGCACATATCTTATCTATCCAAGGTACAAGGACAATAACTTAAAAAAAGCACTTTGTTTGTGCTTTAAAACTTTTAATTAATATCTTATAGAAATGAAGGCTTCAGAGCAAATGCAATGTGATTTCCATTATAATTAATATTTCCAAGGGGCATAACTCGTTAAAAATATTTGATCAGGACTTATTTTCGAAAGTGTCAAAGACATTGCTGATATAAACCTATGATAATAAGTTTCATAAAAATCTAGCGAGAATTGTACACGTGAGAGCGCTAACAAGACTGGACGGACGGACAGACGCCCGTTTTTTTTGTCCCCCGCAACGCGTTGCGCAGGGGGACAAAAATTTCATGTATGCAACACAAAATACCAATCAGTACACATCTAGTGGAAAGACACCATAAAAATAAGGATTTACTCATCAGAGATACAAGGCTTATAATTTTGTGCGGAAAACTCGCGTTTCGGCTCCATAAGAATTATTAGTGGCGCTCGAGTCAAAACAGCTGAAAGGTCAAATCAAATACAGAGTTGAAGAGAATTAAAAACTGAAAATTCTAAAAAGGTGTGCCAAATACGGATAAAGCAATCCATGTCTGGGGGTAGCAAAACCTAAGCGTGTAGAATACTTTATAATTTTACATTTTATAAACTCTAAATTTACAAAAAAATAAGAATATCAATGATATACCATGTTAACACAAATGCGCTGACTACTGGGTATCGACCCAAATAACGAGCTGGCAGATTTGGAGTTTTCTTTCTTAAGTTCAGTTGACCCAAATGATTATTGTCTTTATGTACTTTTTGTGAAGTTGATATTTCTTCGATGAGCGTTTTCTGATTCCTCTCTTGGCATCTTAAAACTATCTTAATTTACATTTAACTGTACATATGCCAAACATTTATTTCAGAGGTAACTCATTTATTTTCCGTCCCATCAAGCATCACGAACATTTAAGGAAAATGGATTTATGTAAGAGTGCTGCTCTTGTTTCCCGATTTCATTTCTTAAATGATTGTATTAAGTCAATGAACCATGATTGATGGGGCGGGGTCATATATTCCCCATGGATATGAGCTAATGCTGATACATCTGCTACCTACTGTCATTGACTTACCTTTAGTGGTTTCCCTCTTAAACTGACCGAATCACAAACTGCAGTATCAAATCTTAACGCAGGTTTCAAAGTCAATAGACCATGACTGAGGGGGCAGAGATAGAAAATCTCCATGAAAACGAAATGTGCTAGTGCTAATACAAATGAATACCAAATATTATTGACCCACCATTACCTGCCGTCGGAATTAGCATACCTAGTGAGCGTGCCAAAATTAGGGACAAGTATAGTCTAGGGGCAAGCAAGAGATCTTATAAAGTTAATTGATAAGTTTTGAGAAAATACAATTTTTCACTGCATTTTCAATATTCTATGGTATATTTTGTTTGTTTTTATGAAATTTGATATTTCCCTTAACTTTGCTTGTGATTTCCAAATGGATAATCAAACGCTTTAAGAAATTTGTTTGGTGTGCTTTTCAACAGCCAGTAAGCATTCCCATTGGCAATCTTTTCTGTATTTGTTCCACAGGGTAAAAATAAGTAAGTTATTGAAAACAACAGATATTTGAATAGCAAAGAGACTGAATAATGATTGTACTGTTTGAATGAATTTACTCTTATCTATAACATTAAAATGTTACTCAGTCGTAAACATTTATGTTTGACACAATTGTTACACAATATTGTAAATTTTTTCATGTAAAAATTTCATCAAAGGACCTAATTAAACAAAATATGTAAGAAACTATGACAAGCAGTTCTCGTCAAAACTATGTTTAAGCCATTTTTCGAAAAATTTACACACTGAGATTAAAAAAATGTAAAAAAAAACTATAATTTCTATAATTACCAGCGTCGTTGTTATGATCATGAAATTTCAAGATTACCATTACTTATTCTTTCACAATCATTTTTCTCGATATAAATGACAGCCGTGTTTTTGCTTTACATGCACTTAAAGTTTAGTACGAAAGAATATTTCTCGAATAGTAAAAATTAGTTATAGGTTGGTTTGTTCTTCTTGAAATTTAACACGAATGAATATTACTCGAAGTAAAAACAAGAGTGCACACGCTGAAATGTCTCGCCTTCTTTACTAACCATTGATATTATTTTGATAGTCCTAAATATAAAGCTTTACTAAAACTATCACATAAACTTAACATGATCCAACAAAATGAGGTCAAGGTCATAAAAACCAAACAAGAAATACATGTACACCTTACAATCATTCAATACACTAAATATAGTTGACCTATTGCTTATAGTTTCTAAGAAACAGACATACGGCAATATTTTTTACCGTGCCCAGAAATTTAGAAACGATCCTGGTAAACTTATCGATCCATTAAATAAACTTATTCTAAAAGGTTACCAATTCAACA